TGATGGTCTACTGTACATGATGGGCGGTGGCGGCCATTGCCGCTCCCGCATTGACCATGCTTCTCCTTCAGAGGTATTATTATAAGAGACAGCTAAGAGACTGAACAGTCCCTGGCTAACACCCAGCATTCTCAAATCCATAAATACAAAACACCGATATGAAAAACAGTACAGAATGGGTCACATAACCAGAGACCAAACAAAACGTTACTCGTCAATCCTAACCAGCCTGATAAGAAGGGCAAAAAAATTGTATTATGAGAACAGATTATCCAACTTACGAGGTGATATAAAAAAGACCAGGAAGACCCTATCAGAAATTCTGGGAACAAAAAAGATATCACGACAGCGAAATAAAATTAGCAAAATCAGATGAACCCCAACTCCCACCAACAGAAACAGCAAACAGACTCAATGATTTCTTCTCCACTATAGGTCAAAACCTTGCCAATAATATCCCAAGCTCAGATACCCCACCAAATGACTACCTCACTGGCAACTACCCGAACACACTGTTCCTATCTCCGACTAACCCATACGAAGTCTCCCTTATTATCAACGCACTGAAAAACAAGGCAGGAGATTTAAATACCTTACCACCCTTTATATACAAAAAAGCGTCACAAGTACTATCACCAATCATTGCAACACTCTTTAACAAATCCATTGAATCCTCCACCTTCCCTACAGTTCTCAAAATAGCAAGGGTCACCCCGATCCATAAAGGAGGAGACCAAACAGAGTTGAATAACTTTAGGCCAATATCCAATTTACACCCTCTCAAAAATCTTCGAAAAAATTAATTCATAAACGAATCTACTCCTACCTCATCTCCCATAACATTCTCAACCCCTGCCAATTTGGATCAGGCCTAATAAAAATACTAATGATGCTATTATACACATGCTAGAACATATATACACTGCAATAGAGAAAAAAGAAGTCCCACTGGGGATCTTCATTGACTTACGTAAAGCTTTTGATACAGTTGACCATGACTTGCTCCACGTAAAATTGTCACACTATGGTATTAGAGGGCACTCCCTCAACTACCTCAAGTCTTACCTCAGCAACAGAAGCCAATATGTGTACGCAAATGGGGCAAGCTCTTCCGCACAACCAATTACAGTTGGTGTCCCACAGGGAAGTGTCCTTGGCCCTCTTCTCTTTCTCCTATACATAAATGACCTACCAAATGCTTCGCAATTACTCAAACCCACACTTTTTGCAGATGACACCACATACGTCTTCTCTCACCCGAGCCCAGTCACGCTAGCCAATACTGTAAACACCGAATTACAGAAAATATCTACCTGGATGAGGACTAACAAACTTACATTAAACATTCACAAAACCTACTTCATTCAGTTTGGTAGCAGAGCTACAGATGTACCTCTTAACATAATGATAAATGGATCACCTATCACAAAGCTAACAGAGGGAAAATTCTTAGAATCCACCTCGATAATAGACTCAAATTTTCATCACATATACAACAAATTTCTAAGAAAATTTCCAAGACTGTAGGCATACTATCGAAGATACGGTACTATGTTCCACAGTCAGCCCTCCTGGCCCTTTATCACTCTCTTATTTACCCCTATCTCACCTATGGAATTTGTGCATGGGGCTCAACAACAACTAACCATCTCAGACCACTAATTACCCAACAAAAGGCTGCAGTTAGAATGATAACAAATTCTCACTACAGGCAGCACACTCCACCAATATTCAAAACACTCAACCTACTCACCATACAAAACATCCATACTTATTATTGCACTTATTACATACATAGAACACTTAACTCTGATATTAACCCTCCCCTCAAACATCTCCTTGCCAACCTCAACAGAACACATGACCATAATACAAGGCAAAGATCACTCTTTGATGTTCCTCGTGTCCATCTCACGCTATGCAAAAAACTCAATGCACATAAAAGGCCCTAAAATCTGGAATTCATTACCTGTAAATATAAAAGAAACACTACCTGTTTATAAATTCAAGTCTCTTCTCAAAGTTCACTTACTCACTCAAAACCAAATAAATACTGAATAACTGAACCATATAAATTGTATATCCTAAATGTTACTCACAATTATATCACACAAATGTTAAACCTAACTTTGTTATTTTTTTTTAAATACACTACCTAACAGAATACTCCATTCTACTGAATGAACAGCAATGTATGCAACCATATGACCTGTCTTTGTAATACTCATTTGTATTTTATAGTTATCTGTTTACAATAATGTCTTATCACTGATTTCATCATTGCTTAGTTAATCTTAAGTTAATTTTAAGCCAGCCCGTAATGCTATGCATATAAGTGGCTTTGGCATGCTGCTCTTACCTGTATTTTTTGTACCTCTGTATGTATGCTAAAAATTTCTAAAATAAAATGGAATTTGTGAGGCTAACTGCAGTAAATCACTAGTTTCAACCCCAACAACAAAGATAGGCAGAGGAGATTGGAGGAGTTCATTTCGTTTCATGCTTCTATCACTTAATTGCTTAACTTACTTGCTACACTCTTAATGCTACACTTTATCGCTGAACTTAATTGCTACACTCTTAATGCTACACTTGATCTCTTAACTTAATTGCTACACTTAATGCTTAATGTGAGGCAGCACCAGCATAGCAGAAGTATATACTATGCTCGTACTGCCTCACAAGCAACCTGCACACCTTACACCTCACTCGTGTTTATCTATGATTTCATGCTTTAATTCCATGGACATCATCATCTTTTTATTCTCAGCACTGTCCTTTGAACTTTCTTTTTTAGGACCCATGGTTAGAAAAAAGAAATTTGGCAGAATAACTACACAAAATGCAAGCAAACACGAGAGAAATACTTCCACATTGAGATAAACAGTGCATTGTGCCAGCTAGCGGCATTCTGAAGCTCCTCGTCATTATTATTATTATTATTATTATTATTATTATTATTATTATAAATTTAGAAAACTGAAGCTTGCTCGTTATTATTATTATTTTTATTTTTAATTTAGGGAATTGGATCTGTGCTCCAGTTCCCTAAATTAATAATAATAATAATAATAATAATAGTGATCGAGCTTCAGTTCCCTAAATTAATAATAATAATAATAATAATTATTATAACAATAATAATAATAATGAGGAGCTTCAGAATGCCGCCAGCTGGCACAGTGCACTGTTTATCTCTCTGTGGAAGCATTTCTCTCGTGTTTGCTTGCATTTTGTGCAATTATTTTGCCAAATTTCTTTTTTCTAACCATGGGTCCTAAGAAAGTAAGTGCAGAGGACAGTGCCGAGAAGAAAAACAAGATGACGTCCATAGAATTAAAGCATGAAATCATAGATAAACAAGCGAGGTGGGTTGTGGGTTGAGGAGAACGCTCCCTTGTAACTCGGATGTTGGCTCGTAACTCAGAGCAAAAAATTGACCGAGTAACGGCTTGTATCTCGAATGCTGTATCTTGTATGCTTGTATCTTGTATGCTGGGATTCTCGTAAGTCGAGGTTCCACTGTACCTCCAGCTCTCCATCTACTAACTCCCCTACTCTGTTTTTAATTGACAAATACATTTGTTCCCTAGGCGTTCTTAACTTGTTTATCTTCAGAATTTTTTCTTATTCTCAGCAAAATTTCTTGACATTGCCTCTCCCACTCTATCATTTACTCTTCTTTTGCACTCTCTCACCACTCTCTTCACCTTTCTTTTACCCTTCATATAGTCTGCCCTTCTTATATCACTTCTGCTTTGTAAAAACCTCCCATAAGCTACCTTTTTCTCTTTTATCACACCCTTTACCTCATCATTTCACCAATCACTCCTCTTTCCTCCTGCACCCACCCTCCTATAGGAAGGTGGGTACCCCATATTCTATGGGTGCCCCATATTCTATGGGTGCCCCATATTCTAATACTGCATTTTTAAAACTATCCCATACCTCTTCAACACCCCTCTCCCCTACCCATACTTGCACTAACCCACCTTTCTGCCAAAAGTTACTTATATCTCACCCTAACTTCCTCCTCCCTTAGTTCATAAACTTTCACCTCTCTCTTACTGGCTGCTGCCATTTTCCTTTTGTCCCATCTACCTCTTACTCAAACTGTAGCTGCAACTAGATAATGATCCGATATATCTGTTGCCCTTCTATAAACATGTACATCCTGAAACCTACCCATCAACCTTTTAACCACCAATACATAATCTAGCAAACTACTTTCATTATGTGCTATATCATATCTTGTATACTTATTTATCCTCTTTTTCATAAAATATGTATTTTTTATTACCAAACCTCTTTCTACACACAGTTCAATTAAAGGCTCCCCATTTTCATTTACCCTTGGCACCCCAAATTTACCTACTACTCCCTCTACAATATTTTACCTACTTTAGCATTGAGATCCCCAACCACAAGTTCTCTCTCACTTGGTTCAAAACTCCCCATGCACTCACTCAACATTTCTCAAAATTTCTCTCTCTCCTCTACACTTTTCTCTTCTCCACGTCCATAAATACATACTATAACCCACTTTTTACATCCAGCCCTTATTTTACTCCCCATAATCCTTGAATTTATACATTTATATTCCTTCTTTTCCTACCATAACTTATCCTTCAACATTATTGCCACTCCTTCCTTAGCTCTGACTCTATTAGAAACCCTTGACCTAATCTCATTTATTTCTCCCCACTGAAACTCTCCTACCCTCTTCAGCTTTGTTTCACTTAGAGCCAGGACATCCAGCTTCTTTTCATTTATAACATCCACAGTCATCTCTTTCTTATCATTCACACTACAACCATGCACATTCAAACATCCCACTTTGATTGTTTTCTTCTTTTTTTCTTTTTAGTAGGCTGTACGGGAAAAGGAGTTACTAGTCCATTGTTCCCGGCATTTTAGTTGACTTTAACAACACGCATGACTTACATATTTAGTTGCAGGGGTATCATAAAGTTGTCTCTTCATGATTCTTGTTCTTTTAGGATGGAGTCCATGCTTAATAAACTGAGGTCCAGTGTGAGCAGTGCTGCTACAAGTGCAGTATCTAATGCCGTTCAAATTGCCTCACAAGTTTCAAATTACCTACCTGGGAACCCAGTAACAAGGGAATTTGAGGCTACTGCACACACAGCATCGGCTGGACCTGGTAAGTGTATTCAAGGATAAGTTACAATACTGTACATTAAACCCTTGATTTAATGGACCTCAATTGAGCAAACCTCATACACAATAATAATAACAATTACAATTTTATTTTAGCATGATACATGTTTGTACAAAGGAGTGTAACAATTTGGTGAACATGCCAAAAGTCCCTTTATATGCAGAGGATTTCAGGCAAGCTTAACCCTTTGACTGTTTTGGTCGTATATATACATCTTACGAGCCAGTGTTGCAGACGTATACATACTCAATAATTCTAGCGGCTTCAAATCAAGCAGAAGAAAGCTAGTAGGCTCACATGTGAGAGAATGGGTCTGTGTGGTCAGTGTGCACCACATAAAAAAATCCTGCAGCATGCAGTGCATAATGAGAAAAAAAATTGACAGTTTTTTGGATTAAAACGCTGACTTTGAGGTGTATTTTTGTATAGTATTTATCATTGTATTCTCGTTTTCATGGTCTCACATGATAAAATGGAAAACACGTTACAGAAATAGAGATGATTTTGATTAGTTTCACGATGAAAACGACCTTGAAATTGAGCTCAAAGTAGCGGAAATGTTAGATTTTTATAAATGTTCAAGAGTAAGCAAATCACACCACACGTCCAATACACGTCAACTGGGGAGTCTAATTTTGTTTCACTAGTGCACTGATATTATTTATACCATTTTTATAATAATGCAGTAGTCTGCATAACAGTAAAGTTTGTATTTTTTATATGAATAAAAAACCAAAATAGAAAGCAATAGTAATATAAGAGGGACCTAGAGATGTGGCTAATGAACAGAGGATATGTTATTTTAGTGCCAAGAATGTCTACATTGTTTATTCTGAACCCTACTTTGAAATTGGCATCTTTTTTAATTTGCGTGAAATTGGCCAAATTGCCAATTTCTGACCACTTTATTGGGTACTTCAAATCGGTAAAAGGGCGGTTTCTTGTACTCAATTGATAGGAAAAATGGAGTTCTAAAGAAATAGCTATGAGTTTGGTCAACTGGAACAACGGAATTGGCCAAAAACGGGGCTCGAAGTCGGTGAAATCACCGATGCGTATATGTCGCCAAGACCGCTAACTTCGCAGGAGCGTAATTCCGTGAGTTTTCGACCAAATTTTGTACTTTTGGCGTCATTACCATCGGAAAAAGATTATCATTTCATAAGAAATTTTTTTTTTCCCAAAAATTTTGCGACATAGAATGAGTTTCAGAAAGGGGCTTGCGACAGTCAAAGGGTTAAGACTAACTGAAATTCTTGGAACTAAAATGTTATCCAAAAACAAAACAATCAAATTAACAAAATCAGACAAACCCCTACTCTCACCAACTGAAACAGCAAACAGACTCAATGTTTTCTTCTCCACCATAGGAAAAAATCTAGTGAACAAAATACCAAGCTCAAACACCCGTCCATCAGACTACCTCATAGGTACCTACCCAAATACGCTATTCCTAGCTCCAACCAACCCACCAGAAGTCTCGCTCATCATCAACACCCTTAAAAACAATGCAGGAGACATAAACAACTTGCCTGCTTTTATGTACAAAAAAGCTTCACAAGTATTGTCACCAATTATTGCAACGCTCTTTAACAAATCCATTGAATCATCTACCTTCCCAACAATCCTCAAAATAGTGAGGGTCGCTCTGATCCATAAAGGAGGTGACCAAGCTGACTTGAATAACTACTGACCAATATCTAACTTAGCACTGCTCTCTAAAATCTTTGAAAAATTAATTCATAGACGGATCTATTCTTACCTCGTCTCACACAACATATTAAACCCTTGTCTGATTGGATTCAGGAATAATAAAAGCACAAATGATGCTATCATACACTTGCTAGAACTAATATATACCGCACTCAAAAAGAAAGAAGTTCCGCCGGGCATTTTCATTGATTTACGTAAAGCTCTTGATACAGTCGACCATGAACTGCTGTACTCTAAATTAACGCACTATGGTATCAGAGGCCACTCCCTCAACTACCTAAAATCATACCTTAGTAACAGAACTCAATGTGTGTATGCAAATGATGCAAACTCTTCCACCCAACCAATCACAGTAGGAGTCTCACAGGGAAGTGTCCTTGGACCACTCCTCCTTCTCATCTACATCAGTGGTCTACCGAATGCATCACAGCTACTCAAACCCATATTACAATATGTATTTGCAGATGACACTACATATGTCTTCTCCCACCCAAACACAGTCATACTAGCAAACACAGTCAATGCCGAATTGCAGAAAATATCTGCCTGGATGATGACTAATAAACTTACCCTGATTACTGATAAAACCTATTTCATTCAGTTTAGAAACAAAGCTGCAAATGATCTGATTAACTTAACGCTAAATGGATCATCAGTCACAAGACTCACAGAGGGAAAATTCCTAGGTATCCACCTTGACAGTAGCCTAAAGTTCCGGACACACATACAACAAATAACCAAGAAAATCTCCAAGACTGTAGGCATACTATCAAAGATAAGGTACTACGTTCCACAATCAGCTCTCCTGGCACTGTACCATACACTCATATACCCTTATCTTACATATGGAATTTGTGCATGGGGATCAACAACATCCAATTGCCTAAAACCCCTAATAACCCAGCAAAAGGCAGCAGTAAGAATGATAACGAATGCCCACTCTCGCCAGCATACTCCACCAATTTTCAAAAGTCGGAATCTGCTCACTATTAAGAACATCCATACTTATTCATGTGCCTGCTACATACACAGAATAATACATGCAAATATAAGCCCTCCACTCAAACTTCTTACCAACTTAAACAGGACACATGACCACAACACAAGACACAGATCTCTTTTTGATATACCTCGTGTGCTTATCACACTGTGTAAAAGCTCTATGCACATAAAGGTCCCCAAAATATGGAATTCATTACCAGAAGATATTAAAGTAACCCAGTCTGAAAATCAATTTAAGACTCTTCTCAAAAGCCACTTAATCACCCTAGACTAAACGCTAAATACTCAGTACACACATACAGTAGGGCCCCACTTATATGGCAGGTTAGGTTCCAGGCTACCGCCATAAAGCGGAAATCGCCGTAAAGTGGAACACCCTTTTTTTCCACTTATAAATGCATACAAACACTAGATAACAAGTTTACACTAACATATATTAAGTTAGCAATAGAACCAGGCATCAAAAAACAATAAAAAAGTACAATACACACATAGTTCACTCATTACTTACCTTAAAATATTTATAGTCTTAATCTAAGATGAGACAAGTAGTATTTATTGTAAGAAATCAAGTGTGGTATGTATGGTAGTCAGCCGGGCTACCATACCAGACCACATAATATTCTATTACATTTAAGCATCCCAGAGTGATAAAATGCATATACAGTTTACTCATACTTACCTTAAAATATTTGTAGTCTTAATCTAGGGTGAGATGAGTAGTATTTATTGTAAAAAATCAAGTGTGGTATGTATGGTAGTCAACCGGGCTACCATACCAGGCCACTCCACCCACACATACTATTCTATGATATTTAAGCATCCCAGAGCGATAAAATGTATATACAGTTCACTCATTACTTACCTTAAAATATTTGTAGTCTTAATGTAGGGTCAGGAGTAAGTAAATGAGACAAAACGAATAAATGAGAGAGAGAGAATGAGTGCATGAGAGAGGACAGGCGCAGAGTTATGTAAACAAACCTGGCGAACGTAAGTTTTTTTAAACAAAAAAGTGTACACGTCTGGTTTGTGTACAAATTACATTGTGTACAAGTTGTCTCTACACTGATACGGTAGAATAAATAAAGAAGAACACTCCCATTCTCATGTAACATCATTTTGAGAAGAAATGATGCTCTGAGTGAAGGCAATGAAAATAAGCCACTCTGACTTTTTTGGGTTATCCTAGGTTCTCTACACATATGCTGTTATGTATGATAATCTATGTAACTATTTGTGTATACCTGAATAAACTTACATACATAGGAAAGGAATAATTTTCTACAGTTACCCCCAGTAACACATTTTCTCTTATGTTAGATTAGAGAAAATATTATTCTTGCCATCACTTGTACAAGTTATCTGGCTACTCATCTCATATTTGTTTATTTATTTTATTGTGGAGTGTATTTATCATCTTTATATGTTATGTATCGAGTTTATTATATAATTTTGAAATAAACATCATGGATGGATTAATGAAAATGTGTATATTAACGTAATACGTTATCATTTCTAGTATGGCGTCACTTGTGCAAGTCATCTGCTACCACATCTCATATTTATGTTTATTTATTCTACTGTGGGGTGTATTTATCATATTTATATGTTATGCATCGTGTTTATTATATAATTTTGAAAAAAATATCATAGATGGATTAATGAAAATGTGTATATTAACGTAATATAAGACATTTAATGAGACTCGATGATTATTATTATCATTACTAATATGACATCTGGAGACATAAGACAGTTTTACTGATTTTAATGTGTACCTGCATGCCAGCACAGTGTGTAAGTTTATTTAGGTACAGGTATACATAAGTAAGAGTATATATAAAATATTAAATAACTTTTAAAAACACTTGAAATTTTGGAGTTTCCAGACAAAATGGAGAGACTTAGTGCTGACGGATCTCACAGAGAATGTAAACAAACCGGGTGGGGCGCAGTGACCGTATTAGAAAGTCAGGTGGGGGGAGCCGTATAGCGAATTTTGGTCATAATTTGAAATGACCGTATTAGCGGAACGCCGTAAAGCGAAACGCCGTAAAGCGGGGCCCTACTGTACTCACTTATGTACTCCCACATCATAACTTCAAGAATCACTTTGAACCTTTTATCCGTTGTTGACAGGAATATAATTGAATCATTGTTTTCACAAAAAGCATTTTAGAATATATGAATATATCTTTTGTCTTATACAAATTTGATTCACTTATAATTAATAATCTACTGTACAACTATGAAATAATTACTAT